GTTTATAGACATTGTAAGTTATGGGACTTAATATTTAATTTAGGTTTCTTGATTCTGTGGGCATTAAAATAGGCAAAGTCTAAATAAAACCTGCATAATAGTTTATTAGTGAGGATCAGTGGTTCATGTCTGTAATCCTACCTACTTATGAGTCTGAGGCAGAAGAATCCCAAGTTCAAGGCCAGTCTGGGCAACTTAGTGAGACCCTGTCTCAAAATAAAAAATAAAAAGGGCTGGGGTTATAGCTCAGTGGTAGAGTCCCCTTGTGTTCAATACCCAGWAMAAAAAAAAAAAAAAAAAAAGAAAGAAAGAAAAAAAGAAAAGAAAAAGTTTAATATCCTATTCTTTACTGGATTTCTCCACTGAAACATATATTTGTGGTAATGATTACCATGATTCTTTAGACTTAGGTTTGCTTAGGTTTGCTTTTTTTAAAATATACCTTTTTATGCAGTTACTGCCCTTGTAGCATAAGAAAATAGAGGCAACTTAAAAAAATCCTAGAATTAAAATTGGGGCTTAAAACATATTTAATCTCAACATCACTGTTAATTAGGATATTTATTTTCATGGTACTAGGGATTGAATTTTAGGTGCTCTACACTTGAGCTATATTCCCAGCTCCTTTAAAAAAAAAAAAAAAAAAAAAGGGACAGTATCTCACTAAACTGCTCAGATTGACCTAAATTTGCAATTCTCTAGTCTCAGCTTTTCAGCAGCTGAGAGTAGTTTGTATGGTGGCTGTTATGTTAATGAAAGTAGATTATTATTTTGAAACCAGGGTTGGCAAACTTTGCTTATAAAACAAATAAGGCTAGAATACAATTAGGAAGAACCAGCCACTTCAGTTTTAACCAGTAAATATTCAGCTTTGCAACTGCTCCTCTCTGCTGTTGTCCTGCTGTTGAAAGCAGCCATAGAGAACATGTAAATGAGTGAGAATGGCTAGATTCCAATAAAATTTTTATGGACAGTGAAGTTTGATTTTCATATAATTTGCATGTGTCATAAAATATTCTTTTGACTTTTTTTTCTGACTGCTTAAAAATATAAAGACACTCTTAGCCACTAGGCTATATCAAAACAGGTGGCAGGCTGGACTTGACCCAGTGGCCAGCCCCTGTTTTGAAAGGGAACTAAAGGGAGGTGTTAACTCTTGGCTAGAACAGAATAACTGGAAGGGCACTGGTCATATGCTTTTTTTCACTTGATTCTGTGGATAAAACTGAGATGCCTGGTTCTTCCCAATAATTTCATTTTATCTTGTCCTTTTCCACTCCCTTTACTCAAAGGTTGTGACTTTGCTTCATTTCCAAATCTCCTAGTAAAAAAATCTTTCAACAAATTGCAGTGATACTCTCAGTGTGGCCAAAAAGACTTTTGATTTGTTCCTGGTTTCCTGTATGCAAATCATGCCTGTCATTTTTCCTTATGTGAGGTTCAATTCTGCATGAATTGGTGTGTCTCCCACAGATTCTAGCCCAGAGCTGAACAGCCAACATTCATGAACGTGCACACTTGTTATTGGTGAGGAGGTAACTAGATATTTTGTCTTTGCGGATTTTAAGGGCCAAGGCAGTGTTCTTCACATCCTACTAAGCAAACRTCACTGTGTCCCTGAATATACATGCTTTTCCAGAGTGGCAAAGACTGACTTTCCAGTTGGCATTCAGTCATCAAATAACATCCAGGAATGGAAATTCTTTAAAACTCATAACTCCTCATAGAAGAAACCCTATTCCCAGGAGACTTCTGAGAGCTTTCCCTTCTAATGCAGTTAGGTCACCAAGGGAACAGTCTCTCAGAGGACATTTGGCACTTCCCTTTTGGAAACAGGGAGGGGCACAGGCCAATTTTAATATGCAGAACCTCAGAGGTTTGGTTCAAGTGTGGTCATTTCAAAGAGGCTCTTTGCCTCCTTGCTTGGGCTCCCAAGCAGGCGGAGTTATTTGAACACTAATTCCGGATTGCTCCCTTCCTGTTGTTTTTAGACTTATTTTAGCCGTTTTGGTTTTACCTTTCCCAGCTTAAGTCAATAGAGGAGGGTGTGGCCATGAACTTGGGAGGCTGGGTTCTAAGGTGGGCTGGACTTCTGCCTTCACCTCTCTCTACCCTTATTGCAGGGCTCCTGTCTGACTTGAAGCCATGTACCAGCTGGTGACAGACAAAACACAGGAGAGGAAAACATCTCTCTCAGATCACTTTGTGTAGTTCCTGAGGCTTGGGATAGCTGGATTTAAAACCAAGTGCCAGTAAAATCCTGTTTTTCAAAATAAAAAATTAATGCCTACCTTTTTTTCTAATTTTCCTCCTTAAGATAAAGAGACTATGCTGAACCTAAATGAAATGCCAAAAAGCAATAAATAGATTCTTGTTTTAAAAGTGAGTGCTTCTAAATAACCAAACTAAAAATTTAAAAATACAGGAGTTAACCCCCAAATTGCCATACTTAAATCTATAGGTGTGATAAGTTCACTTTTTATTACTGAATGTCCCATATATTCCTTAAATCCTTAAATTCCAATAATGCACTTAAATCAATCTTTTCACCAGCATTTTTCATTAATGGAAAACTTTACACACAAAAAAAAGCCATTAGTAAAGTTAAGAGTGGTACTTTTAAAAAATTTTGTTTTTCCTTAGCAAATAATATGAAGAATACATTCTACATTTACCTAGTATCTTCTTCAACCTTGAGTCTTTATACAGTTATACACTGATTTTTTTTAAATGTTGACTTTTTATGGCAGAGTTTGGAGAACTGTTAAGATAATTACTTTTGATTATAATTATAGTCACGTGTCACTTAATGACAGGAATATAGGCTGAGAAATGCATCACTGGGTGATTTCATCTTACAGACAACATAGAATGCACTGGCACAAACAAAGGTGGCTACAAGATCATTAGAAAATCTTATAGACACATGGTAAAATGTGGTCAGTCTTTGAACAAAGTATTGTTAATGTGGCACTTGATTGTAAATAGACTAAATCTTGATTCAATTCAACTAGTATAGCTGGACCTGGTGGCAGAATAATAAAAAAATTAGCTAATATTCTATGCCAATCATGTCCTTCATTGTTTGGCTGGCTCATGTGCATTCTGATCAATTTATGTTTGTTAGGACCTTGGTGCATTCAACAGAAAAAAATACTATGTCCAATTAGTAAATATTCCAGAGATAATGTCTTAGTTTATTTTCTGTTTTCATCACAGATTATCTGGGACTAGGTGATTTATAAAGAAAAAAAATTATTTAACACACAGTTTTGGAAACTGAGAAGTCCAAGGCCATGGCAGCAGCTCTGGCAAGGGCTTGTCTACTGCATCACAATAGGATAGGAAAGCAGAAAGCCAGCTGTGAGCATGTGCAAGAGAGACAGAACACAACAAAATACGAGGGACACCCTCTTTTTCTTTTTCTTTTTTTAAAAAATTTCTTTGGTATCAACCTGCTCTCACAGTAACTAATCCAGTTCTGAAAGAGCCAGAGCTTATTGAGTGAGGATCAGCCTGGTCCTGAAAAAGCCATCGGTTTGTGAGGGCTCTGCCTCTTAGAGGTCTCACCACCTCTCAACACTGTTCTGTTAGGATTCCACTTCAACATGAGTGTTCAGGGGGACAGACAGTTTCAGATCATGGCAGATAGGAAGATGGGGACATTTTTTTTCCTAGTTCTGGTTTTCTCATATGATGTGGAGGCAGGTATGTTCATAAATTTAGCCCACCGGGACTCTGCCATCTGACTTCCTCCTTTGCTGAGAGAAGAGCTGTGCCTTAATCTGATTGGTGAGTGTGGAAGGAGTAATGGTTTGCCCAGCTCTTCTTTCTACCCTGTGTTCTGGGATAGGGCTGCTAAAAGATACAGCATCAGTCAGACCCTTTTGAAGGGGCACACATTGTGTCTGCAGAGGAGGCAAGTCCCACTTGGACATTGTGAGAGACTGAGTCCAGTGCTGGGGGACAGGATTATGACCCTCCTTCTTCACACAGAGAAACCCTATTCTTCATGTCAGCCTCATAGCTGTATAGGTAGTAATATGGATTCTCTAATCTGCTTCATTATTCATTTAAATTTCTCACTTGATTTAGAAGTCAGGCCAGAAGGAAAATTACTATTTATAACCTTCCTCACTTTGGCCTCTGATAAAAATGACCAGTAGGGGTGCACACATTTAGAGGAATTCCAATAATCTTAACTTTAATTTTGTAGTTGGTTTGGTTTCATCATTGCTTGTTATGACTTTTATAAAGATTGTTTTTAAGAGTAACAATTGACAGTTCTAGAATAACCCATGGTGATTTATATCTGCTTTTAAACCCTGAGGCATAGAAGAACAAATAACACTCTAGAATAAAGAGGTTTTCTGAAGGTCACATGAGTTCCCTTCCCTTTGCAACAAAAGGGGGTATTTTCGAGCCCAGGTGGTATGGGCACTGAATGCTCTTGCTTTACAACCATACAATCACCTGGAGGAGACCTGCCTTCTTCTCTCAATCAGCATATTAAAATGAAATGGTGGGTGGGGGCTCCACTAAATATATCTTCTTTTAGTACAGTTGGATAATTTTATTATTATTATTATTCAAAACTGAGAGACACGTTTTTTCAATTTTTATTTGAGGCAACTGAAGAAAGACATCTAGGGTGACTAACCATCTGAGTTTCCCTGGAATGGAGTGTTATCTGGGACAGGAGACTTTTGTTGTCAAAATTTGGAATATCCCTGGCAAAGTGAGAAAAACCTGGTTAGCCTATAAATTATACCCAGCACAGTATTTTAGCTCTTCTATCTAGCAATGTCACTAATTTAAATATCGAACTTTCTGAAAAGTCAACTCTTTGCATTGTCCATGATATAACAAGAATAATAGATTCTTGTGATACTTGTTCACTGTGACAGTAAGGCTTAGGGTGTAGCACATATGCCTAATTTTGACTAAAGTGCACTCATAGTTCTTTTCTTTAACTCATTTTCTTTTTTTCTCCTTTGCAGGTGTGTGATTCAGATACTATGCTTGACCCTGCTTCCTCTGTGGAGATGGTGAAAGTTTTAGAAGAAGACCCCATGGTTGGAGGTGTTGGGGGAGATGTACAGGTGCATATAGCTTCATTTTTTTAAAAAAGACACTTTTAAGAATACTTTCTTTCATCAATCTATTGAATACATATTTATTATTCTGTGCCAGGTATTGTTCTTGGTGCTGGACCCATTAGAATGTGCCATGGGACCATTTCAATGTCTCATTTCCTATCTAAATTGAAATGATTTATTATTTTTTTCCTTAGTCATGGGGTATCCCTTGTGTTTGTAGTAACTGATAAATTATATACAACATAGCATAAATGTGCAATGATTTCTACCATATCTCCTGGGGTCACAAGTTAATCTTCAGTGTTCTGCTAAAATCTGATATTGGAATTCACTTAGTTATAGAAGTAAAGAAATGAAAATATGGTAAAAAAGATACTTCTCTATTTAAAATCTGGCCAATGTGTGGTTGATTAAAATACAAATTTGAAAACAAAGGGAGAAAATAATTGCAATTCAAATGTGTACTAATAAGGCAAAGAAACAGCAGGTAGGTATTCCAATATAAACCATCATTTACTACCAGTAGAAAAACACTTAGTGAAAGAAATATTAGTGAAGGTAAGTTTGAAATTTACAGAATGGAAAAATGAGTATGTGAAGATGTGTGAAGATTAAAACACATGGGGTTAGACTTTAACAAAGATGAGAAGTATATGGATAATTATCCTTAAAATTTAGATTTTGTGTTGCTGTGTAACCCATTTTGTGTATGCATGTTCGTAGAAATGGTGAAAACAAATTGTTTTAGGAAGAACAAAGAAATAGACAGATGATACAAAGGAAGCATGCAAAATCCAGATAAAAAATGAATAATAGTGAGACAGTGAAGAGCATTTAGATATATCACCAAGAAAAGACATAATTTTCAATAGACTTTATGTAAAGCATTATTTCAGGACTCAGATTTTATGGGGAGGTCAGAGTGAATTCTTATGTCATTGGCATTACAAGACAATGTGGAGAGCAGGGAAGGAAAACTGACAACCAGGGATTGGATCAATTAGAAATTAACCAGAACAGGAAGGAGCAGGACTTTAAAACCTTCACACTTTAGATGGTAGGAAAGAATTTATGGAGGAAGCAGTTATGGACTGAGAACGAAAGCCTAAAAAACTCAGTATTATATCAGAACAGCTGGAACTAGTAACAGCAAAAAGAAGACAAGAATAATGAAGTTGAAGAAAATGGTCACCATAGAAGAATACACACACACACACACACACACACACACACACACACACAGGTCAAATTAATCTAGCAAAACAGAAGACAAAATTAACTATGTCAAAAAGAGGAAGGAAGCCCAAGTAGGGGGATAAAACAACAAATCTCATGCTAGGTAGTCATCTCAGTATGGTTCAGGTTTTCTTGGCATTTTTAGGTAAAGCATACATTTATTTATTTATTATTTTATTTTCCTCCTTGCAGATTTTAAACAAGTATGATTCCTGGATCTCCTTCCTCAGCAGTGTGAGATACTGGATGGCCTTTAATATAGAGAGGGCCTGTCAGTCTTATTTTGGGTGTGTCCAGTGCATTAGTGGACCTTTGGGAATGTACAGAAACTCCTTGCTGCATGAGTTTGTGGAAGACTGGTACAATCAGGAATTTATGGGCAACCAGTGTAGTTTTGGCGATGACAGGCATCTAACGAACCGGGTGCTGAGTCTGGGCTATGCAACAAAATACACAGCTCGATCCAAGTGCCTTACTGAAACGCCTATAGAATATCTTAGATGGCTGAACCAGCAGACCCGTTGGAGCAAGTCCTACTTCCGGGAGTGGTTGTACAATGCCATGTGGTTCCACAAACATCACTTGTGGATGACCTACGAAGCCGTTATCACTGGATTCTTTCCTTTCTTTCTCATTGCCACAGTAATCCAGCTCTTCTACCGGGGTAAAATTTGGAACATCCTCCTCTTCTTGTTAACAGTCCAGCTCGTGGGTCTCATAAAATCATCTTTTGCCAGCTGCCTTAGAGGAAATATCGTCATGGTCTTTATGTCTCTCTACTCAGTGTTATACATGTCCAGTTTACTTCCTGCTAAGATGTTTGCAATTGCAACGATAAACAAAGCTGGGTGGGGCACATCTGGAAGGAAAACCATTGTTGTTAATTTCATAGGACTCATTCCAGTGTCGGTTTGGTTTACAATCCTCCTGGGTGGTGTGATTTTCACCATTTATAAGGAATCTAAAAAGCCATTTTCAGAATCCAAACAGACAGTCCTAATTGTTGGAACATTGCTCTATGCATGCTATTGGGTCATGCTTTTGACACTGTATGTGGTTCTCATCAATAAGTGTGGCAGGCGGAAGAAGGGACAACAGTATGACATGGTGCTCGATGTATGATCTCACATTGTTGATGTTTGCAGGCACACAAGCAGACACACACAACACCTTAGTTCCTCCAGGGGCGCTACAGTAATTGTGGCATCAGATGATGCCACCAAAGGAGACATATCACTGCTGCTGCGACTTGAACAAAGACATTTTTATGGATTATTTTGATTCTGCCAAAGTAAAATGATACATCAATAAGAAGAAATTGAAATTAATCTGTTATTTCTATGAAAATGGGATGGATTCTTTGTTTATGCACTTTTTCCTTACCGTGCATCTGCCTGACAGTGTTTGCCCTATATACCTCACTAGCCATGCTTTATGTGGGTTATCATGGAAGAAAAGGATTTTGGAAACTCAAGGAAAAGTTCTTTCAACCTATACGACCTAACTTATGGACTGTTTTGATAGCTAATTTTTTTAGGAAGGATTTCTCCTCTTTTTAACTCTACCAAATGAAATGCCAAAGGAAATGTTGAAGGCCGTTGGCTGTGCTGTATTTTGATATAACTGTACTGTGTTTTAAAATTTTGTATGCTGATTTTAAAAACAAATTTTGCATATTCTATATTTTACTTTTCTGCCAAAATACACCTGTTCTTCCTTTTTTTAATAAAAATAAATTCTGAAAAAAAATCATACTTAAAAAAAAAGACTTGCCCAAAATGTGAAGCTTGGTTAACTGATGTTCATGTTAGAAAGAATAAAATATTTCTCTTATTCTATACCTTTTAAAAATTGAATAGTTTGTTTCTGTGAAAAGAATTTAAAATCTTCAATATTCTAACTTTTGGTTTTCATTTATTTTAGAAAAGGCCAATATATCTGTTCCACTTTGGTAGTAAACATATACACTTATGTGTGTATCAAAAGAATTCATTGAAGAGCAAGGTCCAAGGGTAGAAAAGTGCAAGTTTTTCTTCAGGTAATAAAAAGAGAATGCTAGTCCTTGAAAGAAAACACGAGGCATTCAGCACTGGACAAACCATGAATATCAAAGAGGAATAATTCTAGCTATGTTTTCCCAAACCAAATAAAATGGAAAGTGGAAAAATTATCTGAATAATTTKGACAAATGTAATGCAGTTCTTCAGGGTCCTGTTTTATAACCTGAATGCACCAGTTCCTATCTGTACATTGAACATTTTCATCTATTTTTTGAATTGGCCATTTTGCGTTATGTATTAATATGATGTTTACCCAGGTGAACTGGATAAATTATAACAAATATAAAACATACAGATTCAAAATTGGCAGATTAAATCTCTGTGTCCTTCTACTTTCCAGGGAAGACTTTTTTCCCCCTGAATTATTCAGATAATGAATGGCCTCATCTCTCCTGTTCTTGGTCTCCATAAAAATGTCTGCACAATAGAAATGACAGCAAGATCTAATAAATCTATCAAGAATTGGCACATATAAAAGCTGATGAACCTGATACTCTGAACTTGACCAAGTTAGTTGCTACGGGGCCTCATTTGTTCAGTTTGTCTTTTACATGATTGATCTTGAGTTGTAGTTGGTGCTGTGTACACCTGTGTTGATGCACAATCAGAACATGTGAATAGTTGAATAAAAAGCACTGTGGTGAAGCAGAGACAGTGAAGAAGATCAAGCAGTGTGCTCCTGTCTTTCTGCTTCCCTTTTATGTAGATACCTAGTACAAATATCCTAAGGAAAAAACTGCATGTTCTACCTACCGAGTATAAAAAGGTACATTCACCTTCTGAATCTCAGACTCTCACGGATTGGAGAGACTGTGGGAAACAAACACACCATGCCAATAATTAAGACTAAAACTTGAGTTTGCCTTTTTAACTATTTATGTTCTAAGTTAAGCTTTGATAACATTCAAATGTCAAATTCTCTCATTCTTAAAAAGTTGAATTAATTGCCTGTATTTATTTTAGCAATTATTCAATGTATTTCCAGTATAGGATGTATAGTATAATTGATTTTTTGTAAATAAAATATTTTTGATAAAATCATTGCCTTTTTTCCTGAGGGAAGGGGAACTTTGTTTTCTTGATTGTAATGGTATGGATTTAAAAATGGGGTATAGAAAAAAAAATCATGTTGGGCAAAGATAATGTTACAGAATGGCATAGTTGGTAGAAATCTCTAAAATTAGTATGGTTTGGAAATCTGGAAAACTAAGAGACAAAAAGAATCTTAATGTTAGCCTTTTGTCTTTATCTTCTTTCTCTCAACTCCCTTGAAAGTAACCCAAATTTACACAAAAGTTTGATTATAGTAACTTATAGCAGAAAAATCACAGATATGAAGAAAAATGAGCAAGTTTATTATAGCATTATTTACAAATAATAATGAAACTTTAAAATAACCTAAAATTCAATAATGAAGGGGAAAATTAACTCAACTATGGCATATCCAAATAATGGAACATTGTTATCCACTGAGCACAGTGTTCTCAGAATATATGAGGAAATCATAGAAGTGTCATCCTTAATAATAAATAACTATTTTGTATAGTAACATGCCCATTTTGTAAAAAAAAAAAATTGTTCAAAAATGGTTATCTCTAATACTGGGAATTTGACCAATTGTTATTCTGTAAACATTTGTGTGTTCTCTAAATACCATAAACATGTATTGCTTTTATAATCAGAAAAAGGATAATAAATGTTTTTTAAAAGTGGGTTGGGATATCTAATAGCATTTCCTGGTTTGAGGAACTTTGATGGTAACCCATCTTGCCACTTCTCCCTCAAATTCATCTCATTTCCTAATTTTCATAACTTAGATTCTGTGAATCTTTTATTACATTGGTACTGTTACATTACAAACTAGAGCCACTAAGCATAATTGCCACAGTAGATAACAGAAATATGTATAGTTCCAGTTCCAATATTGATAGTCATTTGGGGCTATAAAAGGACTGGAGATCTTTTAAGGTGGTACCTTTTAGGTTTTGCTGGCCCTATGGTCAGTTATCCGAATCCTCCTCAACTCTGCTATCTTAGCACAAAAGCATCCTTAGGCAATACGTAGAACAAAGTGTTACTGTGATCCAGTGACACTCTATTTATTGGCAGTGAAATTTGAATTTTATGTATTTTTCACATTGTGGAAAATGCTCTTCTTTTGAAATTTTCAAACATTTAAGAAATAAAAAGCCATTCATAGCTTACCAGCATTACCAAAACATCCAACGAATCAGATTTATTCTGCAGGCCATAAATTAATGACCCCTGCTCTTTTAGGAACCTATTGACTTATTTGTACCATGGAATAACTGACACCTAATTTTTGAGCATGAACTTTACTATGTGTTAGGTGTTATCAGAAGCAGATTTTATAGGTTAACTATTTAAGTCACCATATCAGTTCCAAGGGGTCCCACTATTACTGCCATTTTACAGGCAAGGAGGAAGCAGAGTCTCAAGGGAATTTGGTAACTTCAGATAATAATACCAGTAAATTTCAGGGCTGGAGTTCAGTGTCCAGGCATCCTGACATCAAGGTTACCCTTCATACTAGTGGCTACTCACAGTGTTGTCCATAGTCCAGCAGCATCAGCCATGACTGGGAATTTGTTAGACATGCAAATTCATGGCCCTACTCTGGAGTTATGAATCAAAATACATGGGATTTAATAGCATTTCCTGGAACAGGTGCATAATTAGACCTCTAGATGACTTTTGTAGACATGTAAGTGGGAGAGGCATGGCCCTAATCCAGAATCATATTCTTCCCCTCCAGAGTGAGGATCATTTCTAATATATGTGTCCATTCATTTGTATTCTCCTATTAAGCTTTGCTACTTTTGGTATCATTTATGAGTATTGGCAGACAGCCAGTTTTAACTAAGTTTAATAAGTACCAGTTATGGGCAGAGATGAAGAATACTTGTTTCTATACTCAAGGAGCCTATCATTGAATAAAAAGACTATTATCTACACAAAGATTTGATGTAAAACAAAATACAGGTATAAATAGTGGCATGAAGATATAAAAAGAAGGAATGAACAGGTACAGTCAGCTGTGTGAAGGGAGGTTTCATAATAGATAGCATGCTGTTTGGGTTGGTTCCTAAGAATGTGCCAACATGAATGGGAACTAAGGACTTTTCTGTGGAATAAATAATATGATTAAAGTGATAGACATATGATTTTAATAGGTGGTCTTTAAGCAGCACTAATATTTAATTGAGGTGTGGGTTACATTTAAAGCAAGCGTAACTATAGTAAGTCAATTTGAAGGTGGACTGCAGGGGACCATACTCAACTGGGAGAAACACTAGAAATGGGTATTTACATTAATTCAGACAGATCCTGGTACATTCAGGAAGTTTTCAATGGGGTGCTTACAGTATTGCAAAGTTGGGTACTTTAGGTGGTTTGGGCTTGAATATCCCACATGAACCATTGTATTTATGGTCACGATTTGGTCTGAGCATGTTTAGAATAAGCTGGCATTGTCTTCGAATCACTTGACAGCATTTGTCACACACCTTCCCATGCCTTCGGAAGTCACATCCTCACTTCATTAATGGCATGGGCTTCTGCTGGTTACCTAGCCCCATCTTTAGTTTCCTTTCTGTGAGGAGTCACAACCAGCTGGTCACGACAGCCATTTGACTGAACCTTTGCCATGTCTCTCAAATTCACCTCTCATCCTTGTTAAGAAGTTCTTTTGTCTCTTGACTAAATCGTTGAAAGCACCTCCTGATCCCCTCTTTTCACCCCGTTTCTGTTTCATCCAGTGGATGCTCTGAATTTCTGTCAAAGGCCTAATTTGGGATACAAAGGCTTCACCTGGCCTCATCGTCAGCAAATAACTTGTTGCATTGAACACTTTAGAAAGTTCTCAGTGATGATGGTTAAGCTCCACCTTCCCTGGAAGTCTCCCTCCTACTGTTTTCCTTGGTCCTACTAAGCTAGATGCTGTGCTTCCTCCTGAGCACACTGTGCCTTCACCTTCATCTTTCCTTGCATTTTCCTCTCGTCTGGAAATGGATTTTCAATGGTTCCTCTATCTCTGCATCTATTGATCAGAATTCTTCTACTTCCTTCAATTCACTATCCTCTCCTTTCCCATATTCCTCAACTTAAAGGGATTTCTCTCCCCTCTTT